CAATTTCCTTTTTTATTTCCTCTTTTGCTATATCCGATAACCATAGCTTCTGGTGTTAGGCCATAGCCATCTTTCTGGGGGCAGGGGTAGGATTACTCTGCCTACCACATAGGCCTAATGGTTTCCCATTGCCCATGACATTGTATAGAATTTTTTTCAGAAGCTCTTTCCTACCTTTTTGGTTTTATCTGATACAGCCACCTCTGGTAGTCAGCTCAGGCACGTCTTTCATATTTGCATGGTTTTCCTCCGCCTCAGAAACTGCTCTTTCTCTGACTTACCCTTCAAGACTCAGGTCAGACCTTGGTGGCTTTGTTCCTGGGAGAGGTAGATCCTTCTGTTCCCTTAGCGCCACGATTATAACACTTATTACATTAGGGAGATAATTTAGCTCAACATTTGTTTCAGCCACTAGTCTGTGATCCTTTCAAGGACAGAGAACATGTTTTATTCAGTTTTGTATTTGTCATACCTACTGCAGTCTCGAGCACACAGTGAGCCCTTCCTAAAGGCTGAGTGACTTCATTAATGAACACTTGTTTTAGTAGTAATGAAACATCACCCTTTGAGCTGCAGTCAATCAAGTCCTAAAGTGCGATAAGGACAGGGACTCTAGATTCCTCATCCTTGGTTCAGTCTGGATAAGTACCTGTTCTGAAATCAGAATTGATGTTTTTGGCATGAAGGTTGAGACAGGCTCAGTGATAATGCAGAGGGGGTGTCACTGCTTTGTCCCTTTCTCTACATCTAGAAAGTGAGGCTGTGAGCCTGGCACCAGCAGACCTGGATGCTATTTCTAAGTGACCTTAACCTCTCTGTGTGTGTTCTTTTCCTTATATATAGAAATGGAAGGAGATTCGGTTTTCAAACCATTATTGAGTGCTTAGTCTGTTCCAGGTGCTAGGGAATTTAAAGACAAATCAGAAATGGTCCCTGTCCTGTACGTATATGTAACTGGTCAGGTTGCCCTTAGGATGTGTTAGGTTTATTCCAGCTCTGACGGTCTCTGATGCATTTGTCTTTCTCTTCCTTGGAGCATATTTGGGAGGAGAGAGGGTAACTGTAGTCCGTGAGAAACCTACAGGGGTAGTGTTCCTTTGGCCAGGAAGCAAATCTGAGACCTGATTATTGCCTCTTTCTGCTCAGTGAGGTGACTGTATTTGCTTCATAAAGCCCACAATATCTAGGAAACCACTTTGCATACCTTTGATTTCATCCTGAGGAAGGAATAACTGAATTTCAAAGCCTAAGATGCTTTGAACATTTATTTAAAGATGGTTTGAACATTTAATCCTAGAGACCTGCTCTCCTTTTTTTTTTTTTTTTTTTTTCCTCCCCTTCTGTTACCTCTTCATCTCTTCTTTGCTCCTGCATTGAGCCCCCTGCTAGGAAGTGCTAAATGGCAATATACTTAGAAGTTGGTTTTTTTTTTTTTTTTTTTTAAGCAATTAAAAGAAGAGTTTGATATTTCCTGTTACAGAATTTTAAGAGGTAGATTTTGTGTTAAATTAGTACTTAGCACATTACTTTTTGCTGTTTTAAAGTGGTTTTTTCCCCCAATACAAATGACATACTAATCTCTATGTCATTTCTATTCATGAAGAAGAAACATTTGCACAGTGCTCATTCATCCATGAATGCAGTTTGTAGTTAAACCACATAATGCCTGATGGTACTGTGCTGACAGTTACAGAATAAATAGAACAGATTTTGTTTTCTGAAGATTGATCATTTATAGATCAGTTGATAATTTTTTCTCCAGGTTGCTTCTTAGGTTGATGATGAGAAATTTTTTACTTTTGTAAGAAGCTACGGATTTCAAAGAACCTCTGTCAGTACCACAGACCTACCTACTCAATATCACTTTTTTCTTGAACATCTTTTCCAGAAAAAATAAGTAATATTGGTCACTTGTTTTAAAAACAATATTGCCCCAAATAGTAAGGGTGGGGGCCAAGGTTTTGAGAGAATGGGTTGTCACTTTGTTAGTACAACTCTGTGCTGGCCTTGCAGATTTCTAAGAGAACAGGGAGCCTTTTTATGCATATCTAATTTGTGTTTTAATATTACTTTTCATAAGTACTTTTACCAGCTTTTTATGTTTAAATATTACAGTGTGTGTTCTCAAGCATCTTTGCTTCCTCTGCTGTGCCCTGTCTTACTTTGCTTGTTTTTGATGTTTTATGAAATGTATAGTCTGACTTTCATTAGGTTGTTACCATTCTCTCTGATTTTATTGAGAAATTAATTCCTACCGTGAGTTAAAAGATTGTAGTATAAAGTAATTTGGCATAATGCCTCTCTACATTTAATTTGTTAAGTTTGTTTTATAGAGAATTAGTTTATATGTAATATGCACGAGTGGATGTAAGCTTTATTTTAATGATTCACAGTCTATAGTGCAGATGAGTTCTTGGGTAGGTCCAGAAATAGTTGATTTGAGTGTGGGTTCCACTATTCTGGTTGTAATTGTAATATTCGGGGTGTTAAAAAAACAGATATGTTCTATTACTCAGACCACAAGACTTGACTTGATTTATTTGGTTTGATAGGCTTCCTAAGTTTTATAGTGGGCTCCAACATAAGCATATTAAGTGAAGCAGATTTTGTTATAGTCACATAATTTTGGTATAAGGCAGTTTTAGGAATATTTTCCACAGTGATTGAAGGAGATAGCAGTATGAATAATCCTAAATCCTATAAGCTTTAGAATACCTTTCTGGATATACTTTGTATATAGAGATTGTTAAAAATTCACTTCAAATGAAATACTGGAGTCCTGCTCTGGTGTACTTACTCAGGGGGGCCTGATGAACAGATTCTGTCCACGTATCTCAGTGTCAGCCCAAGTAACACTCTAAAATTACCTTTTTCTTTTTTTTAAAAGATCTTATTTATCCATTTAGGGAGAGAGAGAGAGAGAGCAGGGGAAAGGGCAGAGGGAGAGGGAGAGAGTATCTCAAGCAGACTCTGCGCAGAGCCTGACACAGGGCTCGATCTCACGACCCTGAGATCATGATCTGAGCTGAAATCAAGAGTTGGATGCTTAACTGACTGAGCCACCCAGGCACCACTCTCAAATTACTCTTTATGTGTTTAATTTCAAGCTTCCCTGTTTCATTTGAAATAAGAATAAATACGGAATAGGATGTCAACAAGGTAAACAGTTGAGCAGATGCTGTAGGTGTTTCCATGAAATATGAAGGAGATTTGAAATGCCTTCAGGTAACCTGTGTGTTGCTGATAGTGGAAAGTAAACTCCTCACTTTTGAAGTAGCATCCTGGTTTCAAAACACTGACTTATATTTAAGTTGTTTATCTCACCTTCACTATAATAGTGATCTTTAGACTTTTCCTTTATAGGAGAGAATCAGTGTGTTTATTGCTTGACTTCTTGAATTAGTTACTCTCTGGCTTTCACAGGACAGGGAAGAGATGAGTAAAATAGTTGACAAGAGTCTGCCAATCTAAACGGCAAATTGCATTTTTTTTTTTTTTTTTGGTGGGGAAATCAGATTCTGAACATTTATAGGTAAGTAAGCTGTATTTACAAGCGTACAAATGAAGATTAATTTTTTTTAAAGAATATTTTTATTTTTTCATTTAAAAATTTGGTTTTTATTGTCATGGGAAATGTTCTATTGTGTCTTAAGTAAGAAAATGGTATTATATACTGGTATGTGACTTAAAACATGTTCTTCATATTTAAGAACTGCTTTTAATTATTAGATGAAATTTTGCCCTTAAAGTTCCATTTTTCAAAGGTTATACACAAAATCATACATACAAATATATATATACAAAGAAATAAACAGTTATATATCCTATCTTTTCCTTCCTCCCTCGTTTTTGGAGACCGAATATATTCTTTATTGTTCAGGGCTTTCTAAATCGCTACTGAAAAAATGTATTAATATCCATTAAGGTAGTTTTTCTATAATTAAGGTGAGCTGTTGAATATTGGCAGTGATGTTCTAATTATATTACAGTACTGATTATACCAATGGGTTTATGAAAAGAGGTGGCTTGGTCAAGATGAATATATTCATTTAAAAATAACAAGCTCTTTTTAAAAAAAAATTGAATTTTGAAACTTGGGAAATTAGCATTTGTAGAATGCATGACAGTGGTTTGAGAAATTTTCCTAAGACCTCTCTTTTGATAACTTGATGAATTTTTTCCAGCAACCTTTTTGTAGATCTGAGTCTTCCCTCTTTTCTTTTTAATTAAAAAAAATTTTTTAAAGATTTTTTTGTCAGAGCGTGTGCGCGCAAAAGCAGGGGGAGAGACCGGCAGAGGGAGAAGCTGACTCCCTGCTGAGCAAGGAGCCTGATGTGGGCATTGATCCCAGGTCCCCGGGATCATGACCTGAGCCGGAGGCAGATGCTTTGCTGACTGAGCCACCCAGGCTTCCCTGAGTTTTCCCTCTTTAAATCTTGCCTGATTTCTGTTCTTAGGAAATTCTCAAGTGAGGCTGGTACATGTTTAACAGCCAGCTTTCTGGGTGGGGGGAGATGCTCTAGTTGGCAGCATTTGGTGATTTCTGTGGTGTAGTACTTACAACACGGCAGACTTTATCTACTCACACTATGTTGCTGGATACAGAATGGAAGCGATGGGCATAGTCAGCTCTCATCACTACTCCTCCTTTCACAAGATGAATAGATTGATTTTGCACCTGGTGTTATTCTTGTATTTATGATTAGAACATGACAAGAGTAGGGGTGCCTGGGTGGCTCAGTCGGTTAAGCGTCTGCCTTCTGCTCAGGTCACGATCCTGGAGTCCCTGGATCGAGTCCCGCATCAGGCTCCCTGCTCCGCGGGGAGTCTGCTTCTCCCTCTCCTTCTGTCTGCCACTCTGCCTACTTGTGCTCTCTATCTCTGTTAAATAAATAAGTAAAAAAAATAAAATATTTCTGATTATATAGCATTATTGTGATATTCCAAAGTAGAATACTGACCATGTATAATTGCCTTTTTTTTTTTTTCCTGTTTATCAGTTGGGTGGAGAGCTTTGGACGCGAGGGGCTTGGATTATTACTGGACATTTTGGAAAGACTGATTAGTGGCAAAATGTAAGTATATTGTTTTTATTTTCAATTAAGCTACATTTGCATGTCCAATTATAATTCCAATATTGATGTGTTTTATGCCAATGCAGACAAGAAAAAATTGTAAAGAAGAATCAGCATAAAGTCATACAGTGTCTAAAGGCTTTGATGAATACACAGGTATGTACATAGGTAATTATATTTATTCTTCACCAGTTCTTAGAGAATTTTTATAAAATAGTTGTATATTACAGAATTTGAACTAAAGAGATGTACTGCTTTGATAAGCTGTTGAGTACATAAAGGAAAAAATATTGAATTGCATTGATTTCTAATTTTTTATCAAATCAACCATCTCTCAACAGGAAAAACTTGGGAATTGAATGGATCCTCTCCTGATGCTTAAATTGTCATGTGCACATTAATCCTCCCTTTCTACTCTATTTTTGGTCCCCTTTCTCTTCTTCCCTTCCTTCTCAAAGTATAGCACGAATAAGTTTTAAAATCATACATGATAATTAAACGTGGTCTGCGGTAATACTTATTACCAAAGAATCAAGTTGGAAAGACAGTTTTCATAGTCGAGGAACTTGAATCTGCAATGAAATTAACATGAACCGATAGGGAACAGCTCCCAGAAATGGAGCAGTGATGCTTAATGTAAGTAATATTGAGACGAAAGGTAATAGGGCGGGTCTGCAGAGCTTTCATATTTGAAGAGGATATGTTAGAAGAGAGAAATACTGAAAATCCTAACTGAAGTTAGATGTATCTGACAGTGTTTCCTTTTTAAATAGAATTGGTACTGTTAATTACGGAAATTAGCTCTATCCCATGCTATGTCTTTAGCTTCAACATCTAAACATATCTGCCTCATGATGGGTGCAGTAATGATAGGTGTTTTAGTTGCCATTAGACAGCAGGGAGGAATTTACCTGTGGTGTTAGGATGATTTGTGTTTTAGAGCAAAACTATATTTCTGATTAATTTTAATTTTTAATATTTTCACATTTTTAAAATGTGAAAGTCCTTTAAAAGTCCTTTCGAGGACTACACACTTAAGTACTGGTACTTAAATTATTAACATTTCTTTTTACTAAATGTAGCAAAAACTTGTATTTTCTGATTATTTTTGTCTTATTTTGTTTTTAACCAATGAAATATTTTTTACCTCCCTGCCTTCTCTAATCAGATAAGATTTTCAAGGAGACTATCTGATGTAGAAATCCACTCTATGTTGTTATATATTCAAATATATTCTAGATTTGTACTCACTGTTGTGTAAGAATGAGATTTTAGGTATCGCAAATGATCTTGGATCATTCTTTGAATTTGAGAATACCATAATTTAAGTGAGGTGAGGTGGTATATAGAGGATAATATTCCTGCTTGGTTTGAAATTGAATTGGAGAGCAAGTAAACCTTATATATTTAGGTTCTGATTGATGTAGTGTGTTCTCTTATAATAGACTGCTTTTGCTTATAGTTTGTATCTGTGGAACTAGAATATATTGTCGTTTGTGTTGATTGTGCTAGTACAAATAAAAAGTTGCTGATACTTGGAATGAGTATTATAATGTCTGAATTCTAAAATTAATAATATATGAAATAATTTTTCAGTAAAGACCCCCCCCAAGATTGGTTGATAATTTTTCATTTATCTCACTGTGTAGTATTTATAGGAGTTCATTGAATGATGAAAAAATGCAGGTTTTAAGAGAACAGTGGTACCTTATTAGGTACTAGTATTTAGTTATTAATATAAGGAGCAAGTCTGGTAACGGGTGAAAGTGAATTCATATAATAAACTGGACTAAATAATTTCTAAATGGAAGGAGACTTTGGATATTGGGGGGAACAAAAGGATGAGGAGTTAAATATATTTGAATTAAAAGATAATTGGAACAAGGGCTTCATTTTGGTCAGTTAACTTTTTGTGTTGCTTTAAGATGTGCACCCGCAGCAAAGGTGCTTTGCTCCTGAAGCCAGCCCCCTTACCAGTACCAGTGTTCTCTTTGCTCCTGGGATGAACTCACCATAGGGAGTTACTCAGCATCAGTATTCATGTCTTGTTGAGCATCCTACATGGGGATTAGGGTCTTCCCCTTCTCCCACCTAACACTTTCACAGTGGCTTAAAATTCCATCTGTTAGGTAATAATAGGTCTGAATAGAACGCAAATGGAACCTGGCTTTAGTCTTCGGTTTAGAACACATGAGTTTTCATATAAACCAGGGTGGGTCCTTGACATTCAGTAGAGAGACATCCTTAGACCTTCCAAAATTTGTCACTGCCTCTAACCTTATAACAGGCTTCATTTAATGCACTTTAGATGCTAGCACTGGTAAGTTGATTATTTCTCTCGGAGTCACAGTTTTTGTTTAGTTTTGCTTTTTTAAAAAATAACTGAACAAGAGTAATTTTATTCAAGCAGGCAGCAATTCTGTCTGTAGTTCTAGGTACTCAGTAGTGGTAAGCTGGCCTCATTCCAGCCTTAAAATGAGCACTGCTTGTGGTTATGTTAGCAAAGTCAGAATACTGCCGATGATGGAGCTTTTGGAGGTTAGGGGGTGCTAGTCAAAACTGAAATCTGAGAATGCTCATATTCTGCTCTCCCCATGTTAATGGGTTAGAGCTGGAGGGCTTCCAGAGAAGGTAGGTAGTTTCACCTGGAGGAAATTTTGTGCCTTGCCTTGAGTGGTTGGAAGAGCCACAGGATTCTGATTCCGGAGGTGCAAGCATTGGTTAAGGATGTCCGGGTGGGTGGGAAATGAAGGGGGAAGTGCTTTACTCGGTCCTCAGGTTTCTTAGGACAGAGCCAGCCCTTTGGTACTTGGTAATCATTGATTAATTGACTCTTTGAATTGGATCTAAGTGGTACTTTATAAGCTTCTGACAATTCCCTGGAATAATTATTAAAGGATATTGTGGTCCTTGGCCCCATGCCTGCTTTCTCTTTCTTTGTTTCCAGTTATGAGACAGCCCAGGGCATCACAAAAGCGATCATTGCCTGGCTGGTTTCGCTATTTGTAAACTTTCCCCTGTCACCAAGAAGAGGAAGAAGTCTCTCCAGAGGGCATATCCTGGGGCCCTTGGCCCTCCTGCCTCTGCTGCTGCCTTTGTACCTGTGTTCCTTAGATAGTGGTTTAAAGCAAATGCGGTATTTCCGCACAGTGTAACGGCTTCTTTCTGTAGATGGCATCGGCGAGATAGGAAAATTATAAATAAGACTTCATACTACTCACAGCATTTGGGTCTAAGCTTGCTATAGGTTTAACTTTGATACTTACATCTAGTGTTAATTTTGAGTTAAGCCATAGTTCACAGGTCTGTAACTGGGATTAAGGTCCTTTTTGGTGCTCAGTAGTAATTCTGATCAACCAATTTCTCACTCCTTAGAGGGATCCTCTGGGATGCATGGAAGATAAATCGTATCGTTTTATTGCTTCTATTTATTCTCTGTTATCTGATACTTATCTTCCATAGATTGTAAGTGGGCCCTAAGAGATGTATACATCCTTAAATCAAAACACGAAGTCATTAACATGACTCCTTATCTTCTAATTGGATGTGACATCCTAGCAGTAGCAAACAAACTTTATCCTTATCCAGCATCATCCCATTTATATAATGTGTTTACAACTGCATTGTCTTTCTGATGATAAAATACCATTCTGATTAGAATACCTATGCTCCTCATGGCAGTTTCTACATGGTATGTGCCCAGGTCATCTTTCACCTTGTGCCCATCAGAGGAACTCCGTGTTAGTCTCTAGGTCTGCACCGTGTTATGTGGTCACCACATGTGGCTGTCGAGCACCCGAAATGTGGCTTGTCTGAATGCAGATGTGGTGTACATAGAAAATAGACACTGGATTTTGAATACTTAGGAAGGAAAAAAAAGGTAAAATAGCTCACGAACAGATGTTTTATATTGAGTATGTTGAAACAATTGTATTTTAGATATATTGGATTAATTTCATTAAAGTTTTGCTTTTTGCTTGGGAACTTGATATTGCCCCTGTGGTTCTCATTCTGTTTCTGTGAGAGAGTTGATCTGTATGTTTACTTGTGATAGTGTATCCCTTACCCACCTTCCTTTCCTGCAAAGCTGCTCACCCTCAGCATCTGATTGAAAAATGGACTGTTCATTTTGTGTGTTCCTGTTGGGAAATCTCAATTTTCCTCACTGCTTCTCCCTTTCTCCAGGTGGTTATTTATCTACCTTGATAATTATCGGTCCTACCATTGTAAAATCACCTTTGAGAAGTTATTTATATTTGGTTGACTCTCCTACTTCTTGATGTGAATACTGCTATAATTTTTATTTAAAAAAAATTTTTTAAGAATGTTAGATATTCCTTATATTTTCTGGCTTTTACTAAGTGTAAAAATATATTATCCTATCAACTTTTTAAATACATTTCCTTTAGGGTGCTGTTTTTTCCAATAAATGGCTATCATTTAACCTCTTATTTCCAAAATGTTACAGTATGGCTTGGAAAGAATTATGAGTGAAGAGAGGAGTCTTTCTTTATTAGCCAAAGCCATCGATCCCGAGCACCCAAGTATGATGACAGATGTGGTGAAACTCCTGTCTGCGGTGTGCATTGTAGGAGAAGAAAGCATGTAAGTCTTCTCAACTCAGTTCTCTAATTATGTAACAGTATAATTTGATTTACTTAATGTTCCTATTCTATTTTAGACTGGAATTTACTGTTAATAAGTGAATACTACTTAAGCAGCTGATTTAGATTCATAATTGGCCAAACAGAAATGTTTGAGTAATAATGATTTCTCGGTCAATATAATAGTTATAGGTTAACATGTTTCTATGAAAAACTGATTTCTTCATCATATTTATTTTAAACTGTACTGAATTCAAACCGTAAATAAAAATTTTCAATGAAGACTTAAAAAAAGTACAAATGGATTCTGTTTCTAATGTATTTTTGTTTTCCAGATAGTTAATTCAAACTCATGTATATTCCCTTATAAAATCATACATCATACTATTTGGAAATCTCTTTGTAAGGCAGATTTGCAAAGTGTTATATGAAATAGTAGTACTTTACTGGTTGAAGGTACATAGTCTTTGGCCATAATGTACATCCTGAAGTTTTAAACTTTAAAGACATTATCCGCAAATGTTACGGTTATAACTAAAAGACCGTTACATACATATTAAAAGATAACTATAAAGATAAACCTTTTTTTTCTTTAAAGGTTGGGGTACTTATTACAGGAAGCATTTAAAAATTATTTAAAATGCCTTTTAAAAAGGCTAAAGATAAGGGCACTTGTGATGAACACTGGGTGTTACATGTAAGCGATGAATCACTACATTCTCCTGAAACCGATATTACGCTATATGTTAACTAATAGAATTTAAAAACTTGAAACAAAACAAAAAAGGATAAAGATAGAAAAAACGGAACAACTAATAGAACAAAGAGAAATAGCCCTTTCATAAAGGCTAGGCAGAGGCCTGTGAGTGGAACCTCCCGCACGCATTTGAAAATTGCCCTGGTGGTGACCCCACCAGGGCTGAGAGTGTTGGGCTGCCCAGTGTGGACTCGCTGGAGAGTCTGCAGGCCCTACATGTGCAGCCGGAGGGCAAGGCCGTCCCCCGCGGCTGCCCCAGCGCGCAAAGCCCGGCGCACAGTTTCCGCACTAGCTCTCCCATTTTCAAAAGACCCTGTTCATTTTATTGCAGAGTTTATTTAATGATGACACATAGGATGCTCCTTGTGCTCCCCCTGCGCCTTTCTCTCCTCCTCTTCCATCTTCCTCCTCCTCCCTCTTTCCCCTCGCATTTCTTGTTTCTTTTCTTTTTCCTCTCCCTCTTCCTTCCTTACCACCTTCTCCTTTCCTTTCCCTCTTCTTGTCCCTCTCCTTTCCCTCTTCTTTCTTTACCCTCTCTTTTTCCTTTTTTTTCCCCACCTTCTTCCTCCCCCACTTCCCTATTTATTTATTTATTTTTTCCTATTTATTATTTCTTGACTTCATCATAGGTTATCAAAATGATGTAGATATTGTTTACGGACTACATGTCTGTGTCTACGAAGTGAGTTTCTACAATATGCTAGGTCGTGTTAACACTGTTCTTTAAAGGAGTAGCAAGTGTAGTTCTTGTGTAACTATTATTTTTTATGTTTGACTGTAAATCCTTTGGCTACCAGACTTCATTTATACTCAAAAGGAAGGAGAGTGTAGTGGTTAAGAACGCCGAGATGGTGCTAACCACACAGACTGATTTCAGATCCCTGCTCCATTTAGGAGATGTGAGGCCTCAGACAAATTGCTTATCTTTCCCCTCTGTTTCCTAATCTATAATAAGGGATAATAAAACCTACTTCATAGAACTATATACATTAAAAAGAGTTAATATTTGTAAACTGGTTTAAATAGTGCCTGATGTGTAGAAAGCACTTTATAAGTGTTCGATAAATAACCCTCATCATAGGGTTATTAGGAATAAATGAATAAAAACATGTAGCTAGTACTTGATAAATGCTATGTACTTAGCTTTGAAAATGTTGCTGCTTGCTTAGGAGTAGTGATTCTGGAGTTGCGTAGATCAAGCAGTTGTCTTAAGGCATTGGGATTATTTGCTGTTTGCAATTTAATTAATTTCAAAATTTCTGATAGCCTTGAAGAGGTTTTAGAAGCTTTAACATCAGCTGGAGAAGAAAGAAAAATTGACAGATTTTCACCTATTGTGGAAGGTCTCCAGCACGATTCAGTTCAATTGCAAGTAGGTTTCATGCATAACCCTACATACTGTTTTGTAACTGTTTGCTCACTGGCTTATATTCAAGTATGAAACCCTGCATGTCTAATATTTTATAATATTTCAAATAAAGTAGAGAATTCTATTAATGTATCTTACAGATGTAACTTGGCGGATACCTATTATTATTTCCTTAGGTTACTTTCCTAGAAGCTGACTTACTAGAGATCTCTGTAAAATATATATAATCATAGTCCATAAATTGTTTATTCTTGGTTAATCTCAGTTGATTACTACAAATTTTAAGAAGTTTGGGCAATTAAGTGAATTATGGCTTTTCATTGATTTATTAGTTTTTATATTGGAAAAGTTAAGACTTTCCATAAATAATAATGAGACCAAGGTACACTAAGATTTTCAAAGATATTTAAATATGTAAGTGCTCCTGGAAAGTCACTTTTAGACTTAACCATTATAATGTCCAAGCTGCATAATTAATATTCATTTAATTTCTCCCCTTTTTTTTTTTAAAGGAGTTCTTTTTATTGCTGGCATTATTGTTAAAATTATTGCTAATAACCTGAGTATCTTTAAGGAAGTAATTGATACCTGACTCCCACCTCCCAGTATTTTTAAAATTTAATTGGTGTGACCTGGCTGTTGGGATTTTTAAAACTCTGTGTAGCTTGGCCTTTGTATTGTTTCTTGTTGGGGTAGGAATAGAAAAACCAAATCTCCATGTTAAATTAAAAAAAAAGAAAAGATGGTATTTGATGAACAGTCAGAAAATCTTAGGGATGGTCAAATGAATAAATTTACTGTGGCATTTCTGATGAAGGTATTTGTGATGGTGACCTTCCTGATAGTGTTTGTGAATGGCTAGTGAGGAACCCTGTTATGATTTGTTTCTCTGGGCTGGAAGCAGGCCTGGAGATTCGAGTGTATGGTCCCTGTTGCTTAGGTCCCATTACTAGAGCTTCTTGAAAAAAGCCTCTCCTGACTCATCGGGGCTTGTCAGAGAGGCTGGAACGGGGGTCTGGGATGTGTTGTCCACCTCTGATGTGGACCCCGCTCCTTCAGTTTTTTGATGTGTGCTCTGGAGTCTTTTTTATCATATACCACTGCTCTCATTTCTCTTCTCCTCCTTTCTCATCTGGCACCAGAGCTCCTATTTACCACAAGCCTAAAAATGAACAGTAAACCGAGAAGAAACTTTGTAGAGAAAAACTGAACACTTACTTTATCTGAATTTTCCTTTACTACCCAGGTTACCTTTTACTCAGAGTATTTATGCAAATAGCACTAGGTTATCAGATTAATTTTGGTCATTTTTGTAGCATATTAGAGTTCATGTCCAATTCTTAAAATTTCACTTAGGAAATGTAATAGTCACATGTAAACTTTATCCTCTAAATACTTTTTATGCTAATGTATGCCTTTTTTTTAAAGGTTTTATTTATCTGAGATTGAGAGAAAGCAAGTATGAACGGGGGCTGGGAATTGAAGGGGTGGAGGGGCTGAGGGGCAGAGGGAGAGGGAGAAGCAGGCTTCCTGCGGAGCAGGGAGCCTGATGCGGGGCTCGATCCCAAAACCCTGGGATCATGACCTGAGCCGAAGGCAGACGCTGAGCCGCGCAGGCACCCCTACTAATGTGTACTTTTTGATCTAGTAACACACATGTCCCTAGAGTGGGAGGGGTGGTGTCTTGAGATAGAAGGAGTAGACTTGTGAGTCAAGCAGCTTGAATTTAAGCCCCAGCCCTTGGCATCCTGGCTCTGGGACTCTGAATCCTGCCCCAGACCACGTCTATGCTTCAGTTCCCTCACTTGTAAGAGAAGGATAATATTTATCACTACCTCATTGTTGATGTGGGGTTACATATATGAATGTATTTAAAATGCTTAGCTTATTTGCCATAAACGTTGAGTAAATGCTAGCCTTAGAAAGTAATTTTGTTAAATTAAAACCAAAGTCAGTGGAGAATGGGGATTGAAGGGGCTCTTCCTTTTTCAAAAACCTTAGCTGTGTTGATATTAAAATTGTTATGTAACTACAACTCAGCAGTTATACTCGTGAACATAACCCAGATGAGTAAAACACAGGTTCATACACAAACCCATACACAAGTTGTTATAGCAGCTTGATTTGTCATAGGCTCAAATTGGGAACGATCCAGATGTTCAGTAGGTGAATGGTTAAACCGTGGACACCCATACCACGGAATACTTAGTATTGAAAAAGAATGAACTATTGATACATAACAACAACTTAACATGAATCTCCAGGGAATTACCTTGATTGAAAAATGCCAATCTTAAAGGTTACAAACTGGATGATTCCATTTATATAGTAGCCTTGAAAGAACCAAGTTTTAGAGATGGAGAAGTTTAGTGGTTGCCAAAGATTTAGGATCGGGTCTGGGAAAGTGTTAGGTGTGGCCATAAGTAAATGGCAACAGAGGGTTGTGTGTGGTGCAACAGGTCTGTGTCTGGATTGTGGTCACGGTGGCGAATCTGTACATACAATGAAATTGCATAGAACGCTACTTGGACACACAAATGAGTGTAAGGCTGCTGAAATCTGAATAAGCTCTGTGGATTGTACCAATTTCAATTTCCTGGTTTTAGTGTTACGTTACAATTATGCAAGATGTTACCATGGGGCAGAATTTTGCCAAGGGTACCTAGGACCTACCTGTACGTTTTTCCTTTTTGCAACTTTCTGTATATCTACAATTATCTAAGAATAAAGAGTTAAAAAAAACATCCTGGTAAAAGTGGGGTCCCAATTTGTTTACAGCAGTATTATGGTCACTTAACATTTTAAAGCTGTGAGGAAAGGGGTTAAGAATGTCTTGTTAAGAACAAAGCCATGTTTCACCTAGGTAAATAACACGATTGACTCATTAATTGAAAGGTGACTATCACAACCTTAAAATTCATGGTAACTTACATATTAAATTTTTTTTTGGCTATCAAACATTGAGGTAAACTTGTCTAATCTTGTAGAATTAAAATTGGTTACCGTATGAACCTGAAGCCAAACTACACGTATCAAAAATATTCCTGGGTATGTTTAGCCATTTCTATTGTGGGCAGTTACTCTCAGTTTATTGAAGGTGCTACCATATGGAAAATAGATATCTATAAAATTCTCTGAAAGAGAATGGCCAGTTAAAAATTGAGAATGGATTATTAGTTTATAGAAGACACTAAGACTTGAAGAAATTAAACTATATTTAAAGATTGATGTAATTTTGAAAGAATTCCTTTTTTTTTAAGTTTTATTGAGATAAAATTCACTTATCATAAAAGTTACCCATGGAAAGTGGACAGTTGAGTATTTTTGTATAATCAGAATTGTGCAATCTTCTCCATAACCAAGAATGTTCTCATTACCCATAAAAGAATCTCCTTATCCCCTCTCCCAACCCCTTCACCGTCACCTTGTATTACCCTCATTCCCTCTAGCTCTAGGCAACTGTTAATCTGTCTCTATAGATTTTCATATTCTGGATTTTTGATAAAAATCATACAGTATGTGGTCTTTTCTGACTGGTACTCTCACTTAATATTTTCAGTGTTCACTCATGTTGAAATATGTATCACAACTTCATTTTTTTCCCTCCAAATATTAGGCTATTCTATGGATATTCCACATTGCTTATCAGTTGTATGTTGGTGGAAATGTGGGTTGTTTCTAATTTTTGACTTTTATGGATAATGCTACCTGTGAATATTGGTGGAGATGATTTCTTTTTTAATGACTGCTTGTTTGCCATATTTAGCGTTAAGGAATAAAGGTGGGGGCACAGCTAGCCAGCAACATCTCGCTTGGATAGTTGTTGAAGTCAACCATTTGACTCAATTCTTGAAAAATTTTACCAAGACCTAGGTGGCTGATTATATTTGCTCTTATGAAACTAATTGCCTTCGTTGTGAATAATTATATTTTCTTTTACGGTTATTTTTTGAAACACTAAAATTTCTTGATACAGTTTTTAAAGTTTAATTTTCATTGAGAGCAGAGAATGATGAAATTCAGCTTTGCCAGTGTGTCATTTTCAACAGTGTAGGGCTCTTTCTTCTCTTGCTAGAAAGCGGTTCCTCTTAACCAGTCACTTGTTACCCTTTAATACTGGATTCTTGCTTAGAGCTCCAGATTTGTCCTGATACTCCTGCCCCCCATTCTGTCCCCCCCAGTCAGACACAGATTTTTTTAATGTTTCATGCTCTCTCTCTCATGCTGATTTTTACATGTGTTATTCTCTCTACTAAGAACACCTTTCCCCCCCTAATGTGCCTGCCTCGATAATCTCATACCGTTAGGGAACCCTTCACAGATACTTCCTCTCTGTGTTGGTTTGCTAGGGCTGCTACAACAAAGTACCACAGACTGGGCAGCTCAAATGAACTGAAAGTTCATTTTAGCATTTTTTTTTCATTTTTTTTAATAAGTTCAGATTAAATTTCTATACTCTTGATTATGAATAAATGATGGGAAAAATTTTTTTTAAATTTATTTTCCTACTCAACCTTTTTGTTCTGGGTTTTTACTCTTGAAGGAAGGTTCTCATTATTACTAAGCCTAAGCTAGCAGGTGGAAAGCTTAAGTTAGGATTGAAGGTACTGTTTTCCAGATAGCTAACGTAGGGAGTTAGGGGGTGTGGGGAAGTAAGTAGATTGTCTTTTCTGGGACTGCTGGTTGTTCTCTATGTCCTTTAAAAAGATCAAGCAACCTGTTAGTAATATCTAAAAATACTTTCCTCTTTGGGTGTTTCTGAATTTTCTATAAGTAAAGTATATTTTAGAGCTAGCTGGTTATCAATTTTCCCATAAAGCTATTGCTCTAAGTGCCATTTTATACCATTACCCACATAATTTGCATTTATTGAAATGTACTAGTCTGGTTTATATTAGCAAATCACCAAATTAAAAATATAACTTGTTTATTGCTGAATAAAATAGGAACCGATTGCTTTTAAATTGGAGAAAATGAGAGTAAAATAAAAATTCTCATTCTTT